CACACACACACACTCACACACACACCCCTGAGCGTGAGATGAGTCAAATACTGCAGTAAAGACATTCGAGGAAATAACCTGTGTATGCTGATGACATCAGTGACTGTCATTATTTCAGTGTGACTGAAACCACCTTAGGTTGTATAATCACTGATTGTCGTGTGTGTCACACAAACACTGCGTTACTGCGGTTATCTGAGGAGCCAGACGTTTGCAGCTGTAATGCGATGCTCAATTTCTCAGAAGACAGTCTTCTTTCAGACTAGTGAAAAGAAAACATCAAAAATACTTCAAACCTTCAGAATCTTTATATTCTGAAGGTTTGTTTATATTTCATTCTCACCAATTTATACCACATTTTACTCCTAAAAACATGGTGAAAATGTCTTCTGTCTGTTGACAGTATTTTCTTATTTATGGAGTGATAAAAAGAGAAATCCAGAATCCCTCTCTGGAAAAACCTTTAACTCTAATATGACAACTAAATCAAAGAGGAATTATTAACCTGAATGTTCAGATTAACCTCTTCTGGAAATGTATGCAAATTAGTGAATATTTAATTAGATAATTGCCTCATTTGCAAAATGGCACAGAATTGTTCATTTGGTCCCATGCGTTGAGCACATAAATATACAGTAAACAAGGCATTGGATGGCTTGCACAGCCGTGTCTCTCTGATGTGGTTTGGAAGCAAACCGGTTGGAAAGACAATAGAGCAGTGTAGGTCATGAAAGAATGGTTTGTAAATATTGTACATTTGTAAATTGTGTGTTTTGAACAGGAGACTGAGCCAGAGACCCACGGCTGAAGAGCTGGAGCAGAGGAACATCCTCAAACGTGAGTCCAGAGCTCCGAGAGACAGAGAGAGTCTGAAGTAAACAGGTTGTGAACAGCAGTTCACGATGACTGTAATGTGCAGTGATCTCGATTCAGACTTTAACACCGCATGTGTGTGATGTGAAAGCACCTCTGACCTTTGACCTCTGACCTGCAGCTCGTAATGAGGAGGAGCAGATGGAGGAGAAGAGAGAGATCAGACGCCGGCTCTCATGCAAAGTGAGTGAGTGAGTGTGTGTGTGTGTGAGTGAGTGTGTGTGAGA